GTTTGAATGTATATTTAAATTTTGTGAAAGCCTGGCTTGTTTTAAATTTCAGCTGCTGCATTTTTTATCACCTACGAATATGTGAAATGGCTTTTGCATACAGATTCATCTTCATATTTGATGCCTGTGAAGCATATGTTGGCTGCCTCTGCTGGAGAAGTGGTAAGTAACGAGTTATATGTATGAAATACTTCAGATATGCAAATCATGCATATATTTTCAGTTCAGGTATTACTTCATTTCCTTTTTAAAAACAATTTTTAAAATTATGAAAGTCATAAATCCCAATAAATGTAAATGGATTAAACATGACAGTTAAAAGATAGTCTTAGGATGGAAAAAAAATGTAGCTGCGTGCTATTTACAAGAGACAGATATAAAACAATTATACAGAAAGAATACGATTAAAGAGATGGAAGAGAATATCCATGCAAATTGTGATGGCTTTGTATATTGTGTCAGCATAACTGGGCTGAAACCACTTTTCCCAGAATTCCCTTTCCAGGATAGTCTCAGGTTCCATCAGTCACAAGAGAAATTTGCACACAATTTGAAAGGTGCAAGTGAACCAGCAATTGTGTTTATGCTCAGAAGGTTGGTGTTGGGTCAAGCACTGTTGTAGCTCACACACCCTGTCACTGATCTCAGCTGGCTCAGTGTGTTGGCCTGTGGCTTACACCTCTCCAGCTCCCACTGGATCTCCTTCAGCCTCTTCAAATTCTACATCGGGTGTATAAGCTCTGTGGTGACGGGTGCCAGCTTATACTACAGTTTCTCTCTCACAGCTTAATGGGAAATAAATGTGAGTTCCAGTTTGTCTTTGCTCTTCTCCACTTCACATCCATCTCTCCTTCCCTATTACCTGCCCTTTGATTTCTGTCCCAAAACTAGATGCAGAAGCAACAGTTTTACATGAACTGCTTAGTCAGCTCCCATATTTGCTGGTCATATCTCCATAATCCTTATTCTTATCACTCGTAGTAGTTTTGCTTCTCTGATGAAACCCTAACTGATAGAGGAATACTAACTGAAATAGAGCTAGTGGAGTAATATTAATACTGGGTGAAAAAGACTTAAGGCAAAAAACAAAGAGATCAGTGCATAATGATAAAGGAATAGTTCTTTTGGGAGATGTAACAAGTCTGAACCTGTACTGAATAACATAGTCTCAAAACATATAAAGCAAAAAGTGACAGAATTATAAGGAGAAATGAGCAAAACTATAGTCTTAGTTGGAGATGTTCACATCTCTCTCTCAAAGCATTAAGACCAGGCAGACATAAACTTACTAAGGCCATAGAAGGTCTGACCGACACAGTAGCAAGATTGGTCTAATGCTGCAGTCCCCAACCCCTGGGCGGCGGATCAGTACCCCTCTGTGGCCAATTAGGAACTGTGCCACACAGCAGGAGGTGAGTGGTGGGTGAGCAATCGAAGCTTCATCTGTATTTACAGCTGCTTCCGATCACTCGCATCACTGCCTGCTCTGCTTGTCAGATCAGCGGCAGCATTAGTTGCAGGAAAACAAGCTCAGGGCTCCCGCTGATTCTGCATTATGGTGAGTTGTATAATTATTTCATTATATATTACACTGTAATAATAGAAATAAAGTGCACAATAAATGTAATGCGCTTGAATCATCCTGAAGCCATGCCCCCCTCCCTGCCCATGCCCGTCCGTGCAAAAATTGT